ATGCCAGCTGGGTAAATGGCTTCTTACATCAGGACAGTGTATCATGATGATTACTGAAAGAAACTATAGCTCAAGCACCAAAGCATCAGATGCATAAGTTAGGAGTTCAGAGGTTACACAAATAATAAGCTTGTTTTTTTGTGTAAGAGAGTGGGCTGCAAGCTTTTTATGTTATTGTTTTAAAGAAACATGGAGTCAGAATTGTTTACACCAGTTTTGATTGGATCCAGACGTCTGAAGTATTTAACGCCTCTGAAGGCTTTGTCATTGCATGAAGTGGTTAGAAATACAGAGCCTGATGCCAGAGACGTCTTACAATAGTTTTAAGGTAAGATTTTGACCTAAAACAGGGATTCTCAACCCGTGAGTCCTAAAACAATAGCGAAGATCTGCGTTTGATTTTTGGCCAAGCAGCAATCTGAGTAGTTAAACTCATTCATAAACTAATGACAAAGAAGCAGATGTCTAGTAAGATTTATTATTATTGATAAACTGCAAAATCTGGTTTCTGTGACTGAAGTGAAATGGATGCTCTGATCTTTTTCAGGCCCTAATTCAGGGGTTTTCAGTGTAAGCAATTAAGAAAAACTATTTAAAAAAAGGTTGATTTTGGTTTTTCCCTGGGCTGCTATGCTTTATAGTTATAAATAGATGGGCCTTGGGGTGGAAATGGTTGAGAACCCTTGACCTAAAACATATTTTTAAAAATCCATTCGTTGTAATGAGGGGCATGCAGGCCGTTGTAAGGCAAAATAGTTCCAAAACAAAACCTATTTTTTCATTTTTTAACATTTCAGTCTTAACAGTATCAACAATGCATCTAAAAACTCTGAAGACGTGAAGGTTCACTGGTTTTGGATGGTAAATAAAATGTCTGTATTTGTGTTGTAGACATTATGACCCCTGGTTCCCGTCACCACCACTTTAAAGAAACCAGAGTTAGCAAGTTTCTCCACAAAGTACCGTCTCTCAGCACATTCGGAAGTCTGTTAAAATTCCCTTTTAAGCCACTGTAATTAGTATTGCAGGCGTCCTTCCTTCCATCCTTATCATTAGGGATTTGGTCTTTTTCCTCCTAAAGCTTCCCTGTATCGCTCATCCTCTCTCATAGTCCAAAGGGTGAACAGCTGGAGGTCAGAAGCGCAAGGTCAGTGGTCAGCATGTCTTCTCCAATGCAGTTCCCCGGCGTCCTGAGCCGAGCTTGGGCCGCAGAAGATAGTGAGGCTTTTCTTCCACGTTTTCCAGCAGGACTTTTTCTTTTGACTCAAGATAATTATCACTGTTTAGCTTTGTGCAGGCTAAGACCCTTTGACCGTTCCACTGACCACCTCTCACACACACGCGCACACACGCACTCACACTCAAACCACACACAGAAATCCCCTCCAATCCTCTTATCCTTTATTAAATGAACCGCCGTTTGCCCTCAGCTTAACCTCTGAGAGTGACATGACGTCTTAGACTTTCTCTTTCATTGTTAACTCACTCTGTGCTTTCATCTGACCTCCAGTGCCATCTCTCACATGTAGACTGGTTCAGAGGTCAAACTGGGCCAACTGCCCTTTCCTTCAGGTCAGCCTTGCAGAGGACAGATAGAACAAACTAATCACCAGACTTTCCCCTGGACTTAATTAGTCCTGTATACTCAGGATATCAGGTTGTTTGGTGAGGTATTTGCAGAGAAAGTGTAATAATGTAATGATCGATCGATTGATTGATTGATTAACCCAAAGGTAAAAATGCCTAATTGGCAAATTTTCAAATTTTCAAACTCAAGCCAGATGTTGTTAGTAGGGACACCAATGATATCGGAATCATATCGGTATCGGCAGGTAATTACTTTTAAAAAATGTATCAGTGTCGACAAATTTTGTTTGAAATTTTGCCAATTTTTCAAACGGGTATTTGATAATGTATGTAGGTAATGCTAGTCTTCTGAATTATCTGAATATTTGAATTGCTGATCCAAGTAGATTTAGTCCCAATTTCTGTGTAAATGCTTATATATCAGAATCATACATTAAAAACATCAAATACCCACACATTCCCACAATTTTCATGTCGGTGCTTCTCTAGTTTTTAGCTATAACAGGTTAAATAAATAGTTTACTGTCAAAATTTCTGCATAATCGAATGGTTGAGATGTAAACTTAAGTCATGCTGAGAGTTTTGATTCAAAATGATTCATTGTAGAGAGACTTGCTGACTCATTTCTTTACAATGATGGTGATAAGAACCATAAAGCAAGAAGTCACAAATACGGCATTTTATTTACTTTCCAGTGTGAAGCTAAACGTGTTTTCTGGGTTTCTAGAGGGGAAAAAGTTTGATTTGGGGACTATTTTTCCAGCACCCTGCATGTACCTCTCCATTATGAATTGATTTAAAAAAAAAAATACATTTTAGACCAGAATCTTACCTCAAAGGTTCTGTATGTTTCTAAAGGTAGCTTTTAAACACTTCAGATCATAATATATCAGAAACATAATGCTGTATGCTTACAATTTACTGCCGCCAGCCAAAAATCTTAGATGCTCTTTGTATTTTAAAAGTCATTTTTACGGAGTATATCACTGAAGAGACGCCATCTGAGATCCAGCTTATAGATCAGATGGAAAAATGTGGCAAATTTCAGTAGAAAAAAAGAGTTCAGCTTCTTTTATTATAAGGTTTTTAAAATTATATCACCCATCCATGTGACTGGAAAGAAGACAGTTACAGCTCTCGTATGACCCCCACCTTTAGAATGAAGCTTATAAAATATGAAAGTTGTGAAGTAAAGAATATGACGAAGTGCGTTTTGGAACCAGTGGTGCTTCTAAGGAGTTAAAGAGGTTAAAGAAAAATATAATAAGCGCTTACTGATCCAGATTGTGTTCTGAATGAGTTTGCACTCTGTGTGTGAAAAAAGCATGAGCTTTCAACAAGAAAGGAAGCTTTGTGCATATTTTATATAGTGATAGAAAACATAGTAGCGCTCAGAAAATTCTGGTTCTTCCTGCTGAAATTGATGATAATTTTACTGTTGCCATTGGGGATGCGAATGTAGTGTGACTCCTTTGGCAGCAGATTTAAATGAGCATTTATTTATTTATTTTTTTAATTAATTCATTAACTTTTTTTATTGGGGCTCATCAGGTTGAGGTTAAAGCACACCAAAAGCAAAACAGTCAACTGATGATTGCACAATATTGATATATCGAGTGGCCTTCTGTCTGCGCACCCCGGATAATCTTTACAATACTACATAGCTGGTGCTGCTGTAAGATTAGGATTTATTTGCTGCCATTAACGCACCCTCCTCAGTGAGCTCCAAGGCTGTATTTATCACTATTTAGAATAATAGTGCTGATATATGAACAGCTATTGGCTTTCATGGTCAAATGAAAACTACTGCAGAGACAAAAGGAGCTGATCCAAGGTCACTTAGAATTGCTTGAAGTTTCGGCTTAAAAGTGCTGCTTCTGTAAAGTTAATTCATTTCATTACATTATTAAATATTTTACAAATACTTTACTTAATATTTACTGTACAGAAAGGTCAAATTAGGATTTCACCAGATTTGCTGGCTGTCTAAGCCAGACCATTGTCCTAGCTTTAACATTAGCTCACATTAGCTGAGCCGGTTTATGAGGAGCCTGGCCGCTTCCTATTTCCCCTGTTATATCAAACAGGACTGAAAAACTAGTCCTGTAGAGGGCGCCCACGAGTGAGTCCTCAGTGAGTAGGAGTAAATGGAGCTCAATGGCTAAAAACGAAAAGTTAAAATAGTTTCTAATCACTCGCCCAGAACTTTCCTTTCATTTTAGAAAGTAGAAGAATGTATTTAACTAAAAAAGCAAGGTAAACTCACCTGTAAGTTTCCTTTTTTCTACAGCAAACGGGTTTTGGGCAGCAGAACGCTGGCATTACTGCTTCTGTGTACTGATTGGTTGGCGAGCGGTGCAGCTCATTGGCTGTTTGCGCTGATTGGCACCGTTTTAAACTCCTATAACTTGAGTTTAAAAGCTCTTAAAAATATAACAGCAGTGTTAAAATGTTTTATTCTGCTCTGTGCTCAGGAAATAAATGTATTCTTTTATATTAAAAATGTTGAAGCATTTATAAATAGGATTTTGCTCAAATGCTCCATATTCACCCAGTCATTTTGGACTCGCTCGGGAGCGCCATCTAGCGTTTGAGAAACCCAGAAAACATTACAGAGTTGGAATTCTCCTAGAAATAGCAGGCTAACAGGCATCCAGTTCAAAATGTATACGCCACAGTTTTAGGGCCAATAAAAAGCTGTCATGCATTTTACCAAAGCCAAAAAATACAATAGAAATACTTTTACATGATGAGCTAAACTTTTAGTTATTTAGTTAATTGCTTTCTTGAATCGAATTGTGTGCAAAGTAATTTTTTTTATACTCTGTTATGGTTATTAAAGTGAACAGAACCGAAAACTTTATTAGAAATAACATGAAGTAAAAGCTCTGTGATTTATTTCTGCTCAGGAAAGGACCAGGTCAGTGCTGTAACCCTGGTCAGCAGCACTGCTCTTTCCTCCCTGGTTGGCATTCTCATGTGTTATTGCGCTACAGACGTACTTCCATGCTGCTTCCCTCTACCAGCACCAGTCAGAATTGGCCCCGTACAGGACGATGACCGCTAAACTGTTTACATGATTCCCCTGCATTCAGCCAAGAGGTTGTTTACGCATCCGCATTTAGAAGGATATCTCTGCTGTGAGAGGGGAAAGCTGAGCCAAACGTAGAGTCTTAACTGGCTTAGAGTTAGGACGTGGCCTCTAAGCCCCGGGGCATAATTCATCAGATATGTATAATGGAAATTTTACATGCGTATAGTAAGTATTGTGTATGAGACGGTGATGAACACGTTCACTCCCTCCATCTCCATGTCACCCTTTGTGGTCCACCAGTCACCATCCATTCTAACTGTCATCTATAACCATGTCTTGGCACTTTCCTTGTGTTTAACTGGCTTCTTCTGTCCTGTAGGTGGACGCTTTAAAAAGGAGATAGTAGTCGACGGGCAGAGTTACCTGCTTCTTATCAGGGATGAAGGGGGCCCTCCGGAGGCACAGGTGAGTATTACACACACACGCTGCATTCATCAGACGCCCGACAGTACACAGCCGTTTTCATTTTCACATACAGTACTTTGCAAAATTCAGTGACCACTCATCATTTATTTAATGTTTAGCCAAAATGAAAATCTAAAATAAAATAATACACTAAATAAATGAAATAACAGGGGTTTATAAGAAGAAATAGAGAAAATAGGACTTTATAAAAAGAAATGGAGAAAATAGGGCTTATCTGAATGTGCATTGGTACCCAGTCTTGCTTCAGAGCTGTTACTGAGAAAAGTAAACTTGCAAACCAAACAAAAAAATGCTGCTGGTGTTCTTAGAACAATGGATTGGCCACCCCAGAGTCCAGATCTCAGCATCAATGAATGTATTTGGGGTAGTTGGATCATGAGAGGCACAAAAAAACAAACCAAACTGCTAAGACTGAACTGCACAGTTAGGAAAAATACCAGTGCAGATTTCTTTGAAAATCTAAAAGCGCATCTCCCAGAAAACATGTAAGTTGTGATAAAGACAAAGTGTGGACGCACTGAATACTGAACAAGTTAATATTATTTTATTTATTTTTTTATTATTATATACTGAACAACTAATATTATATTTAGTTGTTGAGGCTTCTGTGTAATATTTTCTGCTTATTTTCCCTTCGCTGAAAAATAAATGGCCGTTTTGACTGAAACTTGGATAATTGAAGAGGGGCCTCTGACTCTTGTATGGTGCTGTATCAGTATATCTGATATAGTACTTAAAGGGGAACTCCATCGATTTTGCAAATTTGATTAACCATTTAATGGTTTAGATGTAAACAAAATCATTCGGAGTAGTTCGGTGTGAAATTTAGAGTTGAAATTGGTCACCATTGTGGTGCTAGGAACCAAACGTCCATGTGTCTATATTATATTATTGTTTTTTTATTGGGTACTATTTTTTTCCTTACAATGCCCTGCATGTACCTCTCTGTCCTGAACGCCTTTTGGGGAGCAGTCTGACTGCAGAGACAAAAATTTACACACCCTCAGTTTCACTCCAGCAGAAACTGGAATCCATTTAAGAAACGAACGTTTGTGTGTGAAATAAATTAGTCGTCGTTAGCTACCGTGCAGATATCACTGTCAGCCGTTAGCTTAGAACAGACAGTCTAATGTGGGCCATGCAAAAAAACAAACACTCTACCTCGCTGTCCTGTCCCATGAACTGGTAAGCAGTGTAGCAAGTAGTTTGTTGTTGAGACCAGCACTTTCCCATCACCCTGGGCTGCTCTGTGTTGGCGCCGGCGGGTTCTCTCCCTCCCTTTTGTCTCTCTCTCTCTCTCTCTCTCTCTAAAACGCTGCAACCCCTTTGTGTTTTCTGGTTCAAATTGATATGGATCTACGACATTTTGAAAAACAGACCTCCTCAAAGTCCTCCGCATACCAAAATAGGTAAGAAAACCGTAAAAATAAACTGTAAATAAAAGCGGCTGCCGGCGTTAGCAGTGCTGAACGGCTGTAACTACAGGCGAGTAACTACAAAAGCACATTAGCTCGCATTGACAGTTGAGAATGTGGTTTTGAGAGGAAAACTTGGTACTAAAAATACGTTTTAGGCCAAAACTTTATAACAAAACTAGCACAAAACGATGTCTCATATATCAAGCTGCGCATTTAGAACTATTTTGTGTAATAACTTAACGGGATGTAGCTTTTAGAGCCATTAAACGTGTCGGACGTCTGGTTCCTAGTACTGTAATGGTGAACAATTTTGATTCTGTGAATTCCTCTGGAAAACCGCGTTTCGCACCGAACCACTCTGAATGATTTTGTTCACATCTAAACCATAGAATCATTAAGTAATTCACAAAATCGGTGGAGTTCCCCTTTAAGGCTTAAAGAGCAGTTGATAACATCTAACAAGCAGATGTGTTTGAACAACATTCCTAACCACAGTCGGTGTTTTAGCAAATCATTTAGCAAACCATTCCATGGTGCCAGTGCAGTGAAGCCCATGAACTTAGATTGAGTAAAGAAGAATGAATCTAATTTGGGCTTTGGACGGCAGCTTTAAACGTCGTGCTTTGCCACGGTTCGTCCGTTTGGGACACGCTGCTTTGATCAGTTGGACGTTACAGTAAGGCCGCAGGGTAGTGATGTAATGTGGTTCGCACGGGGTCAGTGACATCTATTTACACAAATAAGATCTCCAGTGCTCTTCTGCCAATAAGCACAGGAAATCCCACGTACTTTGTACTGCAGGTCTCTCAGGAATGCTAACACTGAAAGGCTGTGTTTTATTTTATTTAAACTGGAATGCTGAGCTGCATAAAGAAAACTCCCTCTCTCCCTCTGTCTCTCTCAGTTTGCGCTGTGGGTGGATGCGGTAATCTTCGTCTTCAGTCTGGAGGACGAGATCAGCTTTCAGACAGTGTATCACTACTACAGCCGCATGGCCAACTACCGCAACACTGCTGACGTGCCCCTGGTGCTTGTGGGAACTCAGGGTGAGTTGGGGTCCAAAGCGTGCTGGGAAATGAATACGTGCCATTTGGATCTTCATGTTATGTTGTATCATGAAATGCTCACAGCTAGGCTGAAGTCTTCTTAACTGTCTTTCGCACAAGCTCAGGAATTGGGTCATGAACATTCTTGTTTTGCCTCCAGTTTCTGATCCCACTCATAAAATGAAAGAGTGTAATGCTGCTTGCTGACAAACCCAGTAAGTTAGACCTTGAAAATACAGGCTTAACAGAAATGTGCTTTCACTATGGATGGCTAACCTCAATGTCATGATCATGACATAACCTGTTCAGTTGTTTTTGCAGATTCAAATGTTTCTTGCAAAATATTATGGGTTTTGTTGCTGAACTGAAAGCTGGATGATTCAGTTACTTCCAATCCATAATCCACATTCAGTTCAGTGTAGAGTCGTTTCAAAGGTTTGGGCACTCCTGGTCTAATTTATTGATGTTATAAGTGAAAATAAGTTCAGGTACATTTTTCATTCATCATGATACAAACAGTGTAAATGTTCCCTCAAAGCTCCAACAGTGGTTTTAAGGTCTGATTGTGAACCTTAAATAAGTTTCTCCAGGTGAAAAGTTCGTATTTGTACCTTTTCATAACCGAATGTTTTAAAACAGAACAGTAAAATAAAAGCCTGGAGACGAGACGGGGTGTGTGGAGTCAGTACAGCTTAGAACATATCATTTCAGTGGATTATGGTTCAGTTATGTTCCCTGACTAAAGGTACTGAGATGCACCCTTGAGGGTTCCACCCCAGTGACAGTTTAGTACCTTTATTTCTGAGAGTGTAGTGCACAATTACCGTACATAAACATATCATGGGGGGGAAAAAAGACACAAAAGTAGCCTGTGCAAAGGTTAAGGCACATTTTATAATTTTATTTTTTTTGTAATATGTTAAGCTTAGCAAATAAACAGACATTGTGCACTAAAATTTGCTAAAAAAAATGTTGTGTTGACTTATTTTCACTTGGAAAAATCTATAAAACGTGTAACATGACCAGGGATTTTCAAACTTTTAGCAAACAACTGTAAATTTAGAATACTTCACTTCAAGATTTTCTAATAAAGATCCTTTATTCGTCCTTCAGATAATGTTTATTTAGCTCAGGCCTTGGCCCACAAAGCATCACCATCAATATTATACATATTGCACCTTTCACAAGCTTTACAGGGACATTTGCACATTAATAAACATTTCTGTGAATGTGCCAGTTTAGCCAGCTTGGTTTATTTTTAACTGTTTTTAGTGCAACTGATTGAGCATGTTTACCGTATTTGAAGTGCTTTGCTGACATGGTAGCAATTCTTCATTGACTGTGATTAGTGCAGTGTTGAGAATTTCAGCATATGTGGCCCGTTGAGAAATTAATTAAGTCATTCAGATTGTTTTGATGAAAAAATGCTATATTATAGAGGAACTTAACAGTCAGAATTGTGCTCAGTGACTGTAAAAGGAACTCAGGTTCCAAAGCATTTAAAGCTTCTGAAAGCTTCCACACAGAAAGTTGTTATGCATGATGGTGACATATACAATATGTATCTTTGTAAAGTAGCATACACTAATTATGTCTGTGAAATGTACGTGTGAAAAATAGTATATAAACAAAACGTATGCATTTACCACCATTTTAGGAATATTAGTATTACATACTTCGATCTGTCCATTTTATCAGCTCCACTTACTATATAGGTGCACTTTGTAGTTCTACAGTTACAGACTGTAGTCCATCTGTTTCTCTGCATACTTTGTTAGCCCCCTTTTACCCTGTTCTTCAGTGGTCAGGACCCCCATGGACCCTCACAGAGCAGGTACTATTTGGGTGGTGGATCATTCTCAGCACTGCAGTGACACTGACGTGGTGGTGGTGTGTTAGTGTGCTGCGCTGGTCTGAGTGGATCAGACACAGCAGTGCTGCTGGAGTTTGTAAACACTGTGTCCACTCACTGTCCACTCTACTAGACACTCCTACCTTGTCAGTCCACCTTGTGGATGTAAAGTCAGAGACGATAGCTCATCTGCTGCTGCACAGTTTGTGTTGGTCATCCTCTAGTCCTTCATCAGTGGTCACAGGATGCTGCCCACAGGACACTGTTGGCTGGATATTTTTGGTTGGTGGACTATTCTCAGTCCAGCAGTGACACTGAGGTGTTTAAAAACTCCAGCAGCACTGCTGTGTCTGATCCACTCAGACCAGCACAACACACACTAACACACCACCACCACGTCAGTGTTACTGCAGTGCTGAAAATGATCCACCACCCAAATAGTACCTGCTCTGTGACGGTCCATGGGGGTCCTGACCACTGAAGAACAGGGTAAAAGGGGGCTAACAAAGTATCAGAGAAACAGATGGACTACAGTCTGTAACTGTAGAACTACAAAGTGCACCTATATAGTAAGTGGAGCTGATAAAATGGACAATGAGCGTAGAAACAAGGAGGTGGTCATAACGTTATGCCTGATCAGCATATAAAAGAATGTATTGTCAGAGGAACGTCATCACTTTTCTCTAGAAAGGATAACCATGACTTTGTTTACTTCTCAGTAAGCAAATAATGCTGTCATTTGAACTCTGTGCTATTCCCTTTCCTTTAATAGTGCAGTCTCACCCATTTGTTCCTGCCAAATGCTGTGATCAGCTCCTGTGTTTGATGCTGTAGCTCCATCTGTAGGCTGAATTGCAGTACTGCAGGTTCTCACCATGTTGCAGCACAGAGTCATTGTTGGACACATTGATGCAGTATCAGTTCAGATTCGTTTTAATCTATTTAGAATTAAATGGATTTTCCTGAGATTATTTTCCTGAGATAATTATTGAAGTCTTTTTAGACACTCTAGATTGTGGGTAATGTTTTTTACTCTAGTAATATTGTTTTGTTTTTATTTAGTATGCACCAAAGCACACACCTGTAAACCATCTCCAGTTAGGTGTGTTTTAGGGTACAACAACGTGCAAACCTCACCTGCATGCACAGATTCAAACTATTTAATCATAGACATTACTTCACCTGCTTTTCCCCTTTTCTGTATTTTAATATTTCATACTACTGGTAAAACCTTATTCTGCGTTCGTTTTGCTCGTGTTATTATTTTGCTATCCGGTGTCGACCCGAGGAGGATGGGTTTTTGAGTCTTGAACTACATTAGCATTACAAGCCTCGTTGCTCAAATCCGATTTTTTGCTCAAATCCGATCTCTCTAACGCGATGGTTCACACTCGTTTAGGTAAGTGACTCAAATCTGTCATTAATGTGACGAACCGGCGTCCTGAAATGACCCTCATGGCACATCCTACTCAGTAACGTCACGTGAATGAATCACGTTCATCATCAGCACAAACTAACGAGCAGAACGAGCTTCGCTGAGAAGATCATTAACTCTGATCAGCTCTCAGCTTCATTATTAGAGCGAGACGAAGGAGAAAAAGGTGAGATGAGCTGCTTTTCCACCGTTTACAGGCTTTAACTTCTGTTCGGCGCTGCTGCCATGGTAACGCTGAATGATGGCGCAGTGGAAAAAAACATGAATTCCAGTCTGAGCGTCACATTAAGGTCACATGACCAAGAATCGGATACGTATCCGATCTAGCACCACACATGAAAGTGACTCAGGTCGGATATGTAAAGATCAGATTTCCACACAGCCTTGAAAACATCAGATCTGAGTCACATTAGGGAAAAAATCAGACTCGTGCCACTTCAGCCTGGTAATGTGAACATAGCCTTTGTTCTTAGGGTTTCTTCCTCTTGCTCTTAGGGAGTTTTTCTTTTCCACTGTCATCATTGGCAACGCTCATGGGGCCTCGGACCTGGATTTTTCTGTAAAGCTGCTTTGTGACAACACCTTTTATGCTCTGTAAATAAACTTTGACTTTGAATAGAGGGTGCCATTCACAGACAATAAAAATGTTCTGTTAAAGAGGAATTCCCCTTATTGTTTAGAATTAAATAATTTAATAATGAAGTTGTTAAAATGTAAACAACCTCATTCAGAGTGGTTTCATGTAAAATGGTCTGTTCTAGAAAAACTTCAGAGTTCAGAATTGTTTTACTGACGTGTTTATTATCTGTAAACGCTACCTCACAGAAAGTTATTACATATTACTTTGCTTGAGACATTATTTTTAAAAATCAATTCATGTTGGAGATGCATGCAGGTTGTTGTAGGCAAAATAGTAACTTGTTTTTTTCAGATTTACCACTATTTTCCCGATATCATCCTTACAAATAAAAATAAAATGGCTGTATTTGCGCTTTAAACATTGAAACCTGGTTCCTGTCACCACCATTGTGAACAATTCTGAATTGATTTCCGTCAGAATTCTCTATAGTGTTTCTCTACAATGCAGTACTTCACATCAGACCACTCTGAATGACTTTGTTTACATCTTGAAAAGTCGTTTTAACCCTTTGTTTTCTTGTGCAGAACGTTGCAGAGCTACATTTGAGATATTCATACTATCTTGTGTTTTAATGTAGCTGTGAAGCTTTGTGTTGAACTGTTGTCCTGATTTCTTGTCTGCAGATGCTATCAGTGCAGCTAATCCTCGCGTCATTGACGACGCTCGAGCACGCAAGCTCTCTAACGACCTGAAAAGGTGCACGTACTATGAGACCTGCGCCACCTATGGCCTCAACGTGGAACGTGTCTTTCAGGATGGTAAGTTTTCATTTTCACTTTTTCAGGCAGGAGTGCAACTGCAAAGATGTTTTTTCAGATTTTATTTCACTCATTTTTTTTTTATATCTGCATCTGATCTGTGTTTAGGAGCACAAAGCCTGCTCGGTTTTTGTTGTGTTATGTAAAGTATCATCTGTTATATAATCTGCTTATTCATGAGTGGATTTTCCTGAAAGTCATTGTGTAACACTGGAACAAACAGAGCTTGCTGTTATGTATCGAGCAGATTTCGTCTCAGATTCACCAAAAATAAAAAAATAAATGCCCAGCACATTGTTTCCTCCAAAGCAGAGCATTGCTAAGGGCTGGTTAGCTGCCTTTTAATGCGCTGATTAGTACGTAGAGACCTTTAAGCAGAAAACCTCAGAGAACAAGGTGACTTTTTTCTGTGGAATAGGCCGACCAGCTCAGGTCTGAATCAGGCCTTAATTGCATGTTAAATGGTCCATCTCGCCTCCTGCGCTCAGCTGAGCTGCTCTTCAGTCCTCCCAGCTCGTTGTGGTGCCTCAAAACTGAACTTTAGTGAACTAAACTGTATATCAGCAGCCACTAATTTCTTTTTTTCTGGTATCCAGATTAGTGTTCTAACATATTTATGAACGCTGTGGAAAATTGATGTCCCTTGGCTGCAGTCCTGGCCGGATGTAATTGTACAGGGTGCTGTCCCATCACATTTTACAGTCTGTCCACTAGGGGGCACTCAGTGTTAACAAATGAATGTTAATTTTCAGTACTTGAGACTTCTCCAGTGGTCACCCACCCTCCTCCTGGAGATCTGTTTACAAGACTTCAGCTTCAGTCCAGTTTTAGTTAATCGAGGACTTTGTTAGTTGTATTAGTGTAGCAGATTAGGGCTTGAATTAAACTCTGCATGACGATCTTTGGTGACCTTTATGACTAAGGTCAGATATCAGTGGCTATCAGAGGTTTTATTGTAGGTGTTGCAAAGCTTGAAACCCTGTTTCATCTTAGTAGGTTTGTTTTGCCAGGTCCATGTAATATTGACCAAGGAGCAATTTGTAGTAAATATAACATGTTAATGAGTAACATTTAATAAAACATTTTCAGCGCTACGTGTGTTGTCATATATAGTTTTTCTGTGATCAGCAAAATATTGCAGTGGATTTTTAACCTTTGCAAAAATGATTTTTTAAAATGAATTAATATAATAAGATAGTTGCACTGCTGTCTGGCATGCAATCAGCTTTTAGCATGCAGTTTATGCAGGTGGGCCATTCTACACAAACGTCCATTTTTGTGTCCCTAACATTTACATATATATTACACTTCAAAAACATGTTAGAATTACAATTTATTTATGTTTTAAAACAAAGCAATAAGTTATTTTAACAATTACACCTTCTTGAGCATCAATTTGGCAATATTGGTTTTTAAATCAATCATATAGAATTCCAAGCACCACAGAAGAGCTCGTCCTCACAGTGCCTGAGGCCATATTTTGAAGTAAAAACATGTTTTTCTGCAATTTTAACTTCAATGATCTATACATGACTATGGAATATATAAATTACATGGAATAAAGAAAACAAATGCCAAATAAATATTATAAAATATCTAATTTCATGATATATTTAAAGTATATAACGAAAGGTCCCCAGGAGTCGTGTCACTGGTGTTACCGCGTAACAAATAATCTCTTATTTTGAAATAAAAGTCACACTGATGACATCACTCGACATCCTTTTACCTATTTTCTGAGGATCTATGAAGAAAAGCTCATGGTGAGTCCACTGTGTCTTTCAGTTATCAGAGATTTTCTCATTTAGCTCATGATTTCATATGAAGCTTTTAGCTGAAGTCACTGGTGTGACCGACTTTATTCTGAGGTAACTGTGAAAAAGTAGAATACAAATGGATTAAATTACATATTTTAGTGGATATTCCATGATTGACATGTGGTTTGATGCTCTATAGCAGCCGTTTTATAAAATGCATTGTTCATTAAAAATGTCTCTGGTGTTCCTTTATTATGAGTAACACCAATGAGGATCGGTAACACCAGTGACTCCTATGTGTAGAATGACCCAGCTACTTTACACTGTTTGTTGTTGACAGGTTCACTATAATTGGTGTTTTTATGATACATGCAGTGTTCTAGAAGTATTGACAATACCCACGGTATACTCAGAAAACCGTTTTGAGACAATTTATCTACATAATGTTGACTTGATGCGAACATACTCTTAGATTTGTAGTATTTTATTTACTTAACTGCAGTAGATGTACAGTGTAAATGTGAGAAAGATGGTTGGATAGAAAGAAGAGCAGTCTTGAGTTTGAATATGTATGACAGACAGCATGCAGCCTCCAGAACTCTGTCTGTGGGGAAATCAGTTGGATCAAAACCCATTTCTTGCCTTTCTGCTGCACCACCCAGCCCTACAGGGCCCTCTTTAGCTCACCTGGGGCCCAAGTCCTGTACTGGGACCTGTGTGTGTGTTTATATTTAAAACTACTTTTGCATTGCCACATGGTTATTCTAACGAATGGTCTTTTATTTTGCATCCTCTTGTCCTAATTATGTAGTGTTTCTGCACATGTATTTTTCTAGATCATCTAGCCCTGTTACAATCCCTTTTCATTTACAAACTAAAAATGACATTTTGGCTTTTTAAAAGGAAGATAAGATTAATTATTTTGCAGGTTTTGTTAATAGAAAGTATATAAAGTGTAATAGTGTGTTTGTTTAGCTCACACCTTGTGAAATTTGGTTATTTAAAGCTGCACTATGTAAGATTTGATAGCTAGATAGATAGATAGATAGATAGATAGATAGATTATTAATCCCGAAGGAAATTTAGCAGCCAGTAGCAGTCACACAACACAGGACAGTAATAATACAGGCATATATACAAATAGAAATATACAAAAATATGCAATAAGGTCTATAACCTGAGATCAAAAAGGCATGAATGTACAAGGAGGCGCAGGTAATCACTTATAATGACAATACTGAATAAATATGTGCAGATATTGGTACTGAAATAAGTGTCTGAAGTGTGATTTAGTGTCTGAAGTCTCTAAAGGTTTGCTTGTTAAAATTGAAAGCGTGCCTGGTGCTCCTCCACAAATAACATGATAAGATTATTTTGCTACATATTGCTGTAACAATATACTTTCCGGCATATTGGAATGCACTACTAAACCTTTCATGTGATAGACTCGTCTCCCAAATCATACAAAAACAAATTTTCCTCACTTTTTTGGAAAGAAAGGGTCCATATACAGTCCATATATGGAAATTAAGCTGCAAAACAGCCCAGTTTTTATAAATTGTGATGTCATACATCCCCCGATACAGCCTACAACAGTTCAACCCCATTCATACTGAAGTTATAAGGAGTGCTTCATCCCTTTTTTAAGGGGGAAAGTACAGGACAGCCAGTCAGCTCTTGTGTATTTACATATATTGCTTCTAAAGGACAGTGTTTTTATTACATAAACCCACATAAATATCGCATCGCTGTTGTGGGAAGAAAACCTTGTTTCTCCAAAAGGGAAACTTTACAGGAAAAGGAAAAGGCCTACTTTACTCTTAATGTAAGTCAATGGAACCAGACTTTTTTCCCAACTAATTTTGGGCCGTTTCTTTTGCTCCAGTCTTCATGAAATTTACAAACAACGGAAAGAGCAACTTTTTTCAAATTATGACAAAAACTGAAAAACGACAAAAATGGAGATGTGAGGTTTTCTTCTGACAGCAGCGAAATGTAAACCTCTGGAAAAAGAGTGTCAGACCCTTTAATTGATTGGTCAGGATGCTTACAGCACACAGTAAGATGTTTAGTTATTAGCCAGAGACTCATTTGCATGTTACACACAGCTGCGATATCAGTGCTGCCATGAGGCCGATGTCGTGATGACGGTTTAGTAGCGATATATCGTGCGTTTGTGTACGTGTGTATGGGGGGGAGTGATTGGTTGTATGGCAGATGCAGGCAGGCTTGCTGAGCAGTGTAAAATCCTCGGCCCAGGAGGGAGATTTACACTCTAAACGCTCAGCCATTATCCCCTTAATTATTACACTGTTGGCTGCAGCCAAGTCTGCCGTAATTTAGCCCTGTGTGAGAGAGAGAGAGAGAGAGGCGAAGGAGAGGGAGCGTGTCTGTGCGATGGCCAAGCTCATCAGTAGCGCAAAATGAGAAGAAGAAAGGGCTAAATTTCTTATCATTACCGACGCTGTCTCCTTGCATTTCTCATTCCATCATCCTCAATTAATCACGCATTCTAATTATCCACTGTAGTGGAATTCATTGATGAGTACCAAAATGATTATTTTAATGTTTTGTGTCGCAATGGCGTCTTGATTTCTTCTTCTTCCCCTGCCCAGAGGTGTGTGTGTGTGTGTGTGTGTGTGTGTGTGTCCACGCATGCCCACACACTACATTTCGTTTGCTTGACTTGGGCTTATTCTTGCATCAAAGCAGTGCAGTGGCCATAATTACTATGCACATGACCTTAATTTCCCAATGAAGTCTTGGTCTGTTTCTCCACTACAGGCGGAGTCTCTTCGTTTAGCAGGCTGTGTACAACACAATAGTCCTGCTCACCGAAAAATAATTGGGTATGAGCTCCACCATAACATCGTCCCCTCATTAGACGTGCTGCAGACGACCCTTTTGTCTGTTTGTTTTTCTGTGTTTTTCTGAGTTTTCTCTTTGACCCATCTCTGATGATTTCCACAGCTTGAAACAGTGGCATTGTTCGGCGTGACGCTTCAGTTTCATTTTCAGTTAGTTTTTAGACAACATTAATACTAGGAATATTAATATTTGTGAATATATGTGCTGATTCAGATACATGAGCATTTATAAACTGTGGAATGTGGGAGTTAAGCTACCTGGATTAGCATTACGGAAAAATATAGCATTCGTTTCTACCAAAGTAACGGGTAACAAATAACAGTATGGTAAAATGAATGAATTGCAGGAGTCCAGTGTTGCCTAAATGTTCTGTTT